GTGATTCCGAGCACGTCAACGGCTACGGTCATTCGTCCCGTAAGTGTAGTGCGTGTTTTTATCACGTGCGTTGGCGGTGATCTTCCCCGGCTGGCAAGCGAGATCCGGCGCCGACCTTCCAGTCGACTTTCGGAGATTTTCCCCAACCAGGTGTCTCCACCAGCGGGGCACCGTCCCTATCAGGACAAGCTCTAAGGTTTCGACTGGTCTTATGAGAAGTGTGACAGTGTAATGCATCTGATTGTGTGTGGGGGGGATGTATGTAAGGGGTGAAGATAGGACAAGGAGGGGGAAGGAAAATCGCGGGTTGTCCATGGCCATTTGTTAAGGTACTGATCCGGCTATGTAGCTAGAGTCGAAAATCCTGCCACCGTCGGGACACGAACCTTAGGTCATTCCGGTCAGAGGCACTGCAGTGACATCAATTGATGATCTGAGCCCCACCTAACCCGGTCCGGAAGGGCTAGGCTTTCCATGGTCGCGAGGTCAACAGGGCCATGGGGCTAACCCTATGAAACCTCGCCCTCCGAAATCAAATTCATGAAAGTAACTGCTTTTCTACTACATTTCTCAATTTTTCTTTACACGGTCACAGTTTTCTAAATGTTCACAGTTTATAAAAGTAGTACTCAGGTCTACAAAATCAGACTCCTAATGACAATTACATCTTGCGATTTCGCCAAAGTAATTCTACTCCTCCCTCTTACAGTTCATATATTCCTATCGCCATTGATCAGTGTTTGAAATGCTGTTTTCTATAATTAGGGGCTCCTGCTTGCGTACATTTACATACTGTGAGACTTCTCCAGGACGAACATCAAAACTTCTTATTTTAAATTTAAAATTCTAGTGGCTTTCAGCAGCAAATATGCTGCAGTACGAAACCACACAAACTGCTTTTCCAAAAAGCAGCACGCACCCTGCTCAAAAACTACCAAAAGATTCACAGATATAACTTTGCAATAAATTAAACATTTTAACAAAAATGTATTCTGGATTAATGCTGTAACATAGTATAGTAATACATCTATAGATACATAGTATGCGTAGTACAACACTTCTTTACCCACCAAGATTATGAAATAATTATATGCGTCGTCATTGCCAACAATATTATTACAATTGGAAATGCCAACGAAAATTCGCCACAATACCTATACACCAAGATTATACTAAATAAACTTGCTGTTCCATAATGCACCACGAGAATAGCATATATTTAATGGTGGACGGCTTTTCTTGGGAGTCTTACAGTTACATAGCGTCAACTGAGTCGTTATCAGTAACGCAATGAGTATGACAGTCCAGTCGGAAATTGTAATATGAGACGACGGAAAGCTCAATCGAATATTTGCATTTTTCAGTCCAAATAGATTTTTTAGGATTTCTCGGTATCTAACAAGCCCGGATACCTCTCTCATGACCGGATACAGCATAGTCTTCTTTGAAATTTATACATTTTTATATGCATTTGATCGACATTTTGATAGAAAGGCTTTTGTGAACTGTTTTGTATACTGATTACTTAATAGCAAATTAGGTAGAGAACACATCGTTTTTACTATTCAAGAATTCATTTAATTTAAATGACATTCGTTATCAAAAGTATTTTTCTTCATGTAGACAGTGATGCGTGTGAGAGACTGAATCCCGAAGCTGTTTCGAGAGACTGAATCCCGAAGCTGTTTCTTAAGTTAACCCCTAGCTGGTGGCTCATGGGCAGTGAACTAGTTTTCCATTGTGCGATTCCGGGTTCGATTCCCGGTCAGGGCAAAAATAGAGTTATGGCTTACAATTAAAATGGTATTAGTTTCTGTAGCTGTGTGACGCAGAAAAGACCAGGTAGGCGGAGTTAGCTAGTTACGGCGAAGGCAATATGACATGTTCGGCACATGTCTCTTATACCCCTCAATTGTGGGTATTAAACTGGGCCCAGGCTTGGGGGACACCGTTAGCTAGCCTGCAAAGTGGGACAATCGACCCACATACAATACAATACTTAAGTCACCCCTCAGTGTGAGTTATTACAGGATAATAATTTCCGATTGCAGAAAATCTCTCATCCTTGGAAGAAGTTTCTGACTTCGATGCCGGTGTGGGCCATCGTGGTGGCGCACTTCTGCGAGAACTGGGGCTTCTACACGCTCCTCACGCAGCTGCCCTCATTCATGAAAGGTTTCGCACTCCACTCTATTCACTCACTAGCCTAAGAACCCCGCCTTGTTGCCTTATGTATCATAACAATGTTTTATGAAACGGAAATGGGAATTCCATCTACTCCCGCCCTGTGGCGGAGCTTACTTCTGTATATTCTACTGAATCTCTTTTCCGCCCTACCCCACATCTCCCTGCCTTGCCCCATATGAAAATACCCGGTCTTTCGTACTCAATAAAACACGTTCTCACTAAATAATATTTAAATTTTATTCCTATTAGGGTTCCCGCTCCCAAACTTCTTTCACTTTATAACTGAAAATAAAAAAATCTAAACAAAAAATAAAATGCATGTTCTCACGTATATTCTTTTTGTGGAATTTTATATATCTCAATTCTTTCAGTCAATTGCTATATTATAAAACTTACTCTTTTTCATATTTTCCTTCTCGCGTATTTATAAAGAAAAGTTTAAAATTCATCTTGCTGCGTCAATCGACGTTTAAAAATAATTAAAGTAATTTTAATTGAATCCGAGTACGTTTTTTTAGTATCCTTGATAGATAGTGGCTGACGGAAAGGAGCCATTAAGAATTTAGACAGTTATATTATCTTCAAAAATCCGAGATCACAGTGGATTCCGGCTTGACAAAACTTTTTCTATTATCTAAAACAACCTTGAGTACCAGTATTCACTCATTCAATTCCTCCAAATATCCATTTACCAGTGCTGTTTTACTTTCATTATACTGATATTTTATTATAAATTATATTCTTACCAAATCAATTTAATCATTCCTTCAACACCCAAAGTTACGCTTTCACTGTCCACTATATAAACTATTTCTCTACAAAAAAGCATCCATCCGTCAGTTTCCGCATAAGACGTAAATCATTCGAATGTTTTCGCTCTCACTGTCGCCACACAAATTGCAAATATATAATAGAGAATTTTTGCAGGACGTAGATATGAAAGACGTAACACGTCAATACTGGGGAGTATTTGTACGTTTGCGCCGGCATCAAATGACAGGATTTCGATTGTCGGGTCCCGCCATTCTCCCTGTTTTGTCGTCTACGACAAACTTGCTATTTACGTAGTTTTCTTTGTCATTACTAAACACGATATCAACACTAACGCACAATGTCCATGGAAGAAAGACGAATGCAATATCCATAGTACCAAGAATTTAATGGTTAATATTTCTCAAGTTAATTCAAATATGAAACAGGGATTTCTAACATAAAAATTATAAATATGTATTATTAAAATTGCAGAGTTACATTCTAAGACAATTTAGGAGGCTGTAGATATCTTTGTGATAAAGACATGTATTACATATTCGTATAATACAATCAGATTTCATGTATTACACATTTTACTATCATGTAATGCTTATAAAGCAAAACAAAAGACTCAGAGGTTCATATATGTTCAATAAAAGCTTTTAGATTCTCTTAGAGGTACATTCAGTTCCAATTAGTTCATAGTTTCAACGCATTCTTTCGATTGTACGACATGCAAAATCTCGTTTTTCTGAAGATACGTTATTTCCTATTAACGATAATGTTTACGTACTACGGATATAATAGATTTCCTATCATGCAAGAACTCTCTAATAATTATGCTTAATTTACTACAACTAAACATGTGCGCATTCGTTACTTTTACAACAATATTAACCACATCCGTTAGAAAATGATATCTTCCAAACATTTCGTCTCTTTTACACTTAATGCACTCACGCTTACATGCAATTACAATGGATATACAAGTTACTTGTATAATTAGAGCGAGAAAATTATTTCGGATTAGGCAACCGACGGAAATAAACATAGCCTTCTAAATACGCAATTCTGGGCATTGATGAAATCAGTAGATCTTAGACGTTATCCAATGGTGGCGCACAGCTCAACTCTTGGCATTGATACACTATTGACATTGATACATATTGGGTCTGTGATGTAAAGCTAGGCGAAAAATGTCCAGAACACCATCGCGATGTAGGTCCACGCACTTCTGTCTTTATATATTACTATAGATATTCCTAGTTTGCATTTCGTATTTTAATGATAAAACTACATACAAGGGAATGCTCATGTTTGTCGCATATAGAATTAAAAACAATTTCGCTGAAATGTTCATACATTTTTATTGGTTTCGGAAGTATTTAATAAGTGATTTTAATTAAATTGGACGTGTGGGGGCGTTGTTGATGACTAGAGTTTATTACTCGCTCACTCTACTGAAGTGACCCTGGTCAGAAACGCTAGGCAACCCGCAGGATCCAATATTAAGCGCGCATATTCTGTCTATGGAATTGTGAAATATCGACTGGAATTGTTTATACCCGATATTACTTGAACGTTTTCTCAGGAAAGTAAATCAAATTTCTCCAAGACAGTGACCCAGCGAACGCATGCCCAAACTTGTCTGAGAACGTTTTAACAATAGAATATCGATAACCATGCCCAAGACAGGACAGAGAAGAAACCCATACTCGTGAGAAAGACGTTTAATTTTTAGAATTTTTGCAGAGCGTGGCGTAAAACGTGATTATCAATCTCGTGACCAGTAGCGTATGAAGTGTTGCATACTGCTATAGCGAAACATTGTCGGGTCCTCTAGTTCTAACTATATAGTAAAGAATAATAAAATATGCAATAAATTGTATTGTTAAAAATATTGTTTTTATTTTTTTTTATTAATTATGTTATTGTGAAAGCGTTTTCCCCTAGTACCTTGGTTGGCATACAAAACAGCTAATGCAATTGATTGAGATTCATTTTTCTGTTGTTTTCTAATTATGATCCTCCCCCTATACAAATTCATATTCATGTTTCAGACACTCTACACTTCGACCTTAAACAAGCTGGGTTTATGTCTGGGCTCCCGTACCTCGCCATGGCAATTGTTCTTCAGATCGCAGGCCAATTAGCTGACGTGCTGCGAGAGCGGCGAATCCTCACTACCACCCAGGTGAGTGAGTGTCTACAGTGGACGTATGTGCTTAGATAGTACGGTTGCGCAACCCCCAGACAATACCCCACCTGCTCAGACACGTGTAGAAACTTCAACTAAATGTGTATGAGACGTAGAGAGAGACAGACGGAGAGAGACAGACGGAGAGAGACAGACGGAGAGAGACAGACGGAGAGAGAAAGATGGAGAGGGAGAGGGAGAGACGGAGAGAGATGGAGAGGGAGAGGGAGAGACGGAGAGAGATGGAGAGAGATACGGAAAGAGAGAGGGAGTGAGAGAACGAGAGAAAGAGAGAGAGAGAGAGACGATGAAAGGAAAAGACGAAACGAGGAGAGTCGAAGAGAGAGGGAGAAGCGAAGAAAGGAAGTGACATAGAGAAAGGGAGAGACGAAGAGAAATGGAGAGACAGAGAGAGGGTGGAGGAGAAAAAAGAGATGAAGGGCAGATCAACGTCTGCCGGGTTAGGCTAGGTAGTACATAGATGTGATTGTGGGTGTGATTCAAAGACAGCTTTGATTAGTCTGCACGTGTATTGTTTTGAAATGAGAAAACGCGGACGAGTGAGTATACGAATAGTATAACGATTCTCTTTTGTTCGATGTTTAACCACTTAAAATCTCGAAGAAGAAATACGAGTAGGAATCATCTCGAGTATGCATAAAAACAACTTTTTTTAATCATAATTAGGCACAGTACAACAGAACAATTAATTTTTGAAATATTTATTCATTCTGTTCAACATCAATCTTTTGCAGGGGGTTTTCAATTACAATGTTTATTATATTTTGGGACGATCCCGCATCAGGCTAGAAATCATCCATGATATACATATAAATTATATATACCATTTATAAATTATATTTTTGAATTCATTCAAAATTCATGGTGGGTGGAGAATATTATTTGGATATCTTGAACGTACACGATATTTTCTTTAATTTACTTAAGCCAAATGTATTTATGCTAAGTGAAGTTGAGAGACTGGAAGAGTTTTTGGATAGTGTTAATATATTGGTCTCGAGATTCAATTCATAATTCTCTGTGAATCTGTTTGTTCGGCATAAATTATTGAGCTTTAATAATTCTGCGTAGAAATTTATTTTTTCTTACTTGTAATTTCTTCGAAATGGTTAGGGGCAGTGCTGCACCAGATGGGGAAGGCATAAGTTATATACGGTCGAATTATTGTTTAGTATATTAGTAAAATACATTGCATTTTAATGGAAGACTTGAAATTTATTAGCGTATATTTATTAACTATTGCAATAATATGCGATAACCATGTTAGAGGACATCAAGATAGAATGCAACGTTATAGTTATAGACATTGAATTTTAGTAGGGGAGGATGTTGATATCAACGTAAAGAAAATATTTTAGTTTGGGATTCGTCAGTGATTATTTTTATTCACCATTTTTGGGTCCAGTTTTGAAATTCGTACAAACTCTATTGTATATTATCGAAAGCTGTATTTATATCACTCTACGAAGTAAATAGAACTGTGAACAATTATATAAAGCAGTTTTCCGTCATCTGACGGATCTGCAGCCCCCTTCTTGGCCGAGTGTGAGGTGAGCGTGGATGTGGATGTGGAAGCGGTGGGCTGGTGTTATATATTAAGGGAGCTGCCGCCCCCTTTTTGCCCGAGTGTGAGGTGAGGGTAGATGTGGAAGCGGTGGGCTGGTGTTATATACGGAGCTGCGGCCCCCTTTCTGGCCGAGTGTGAGGTGAGCGTGGATGTGGGCTGGTGTTGCGCAGGTGCGGCGGCTGTTCAACTGCGGCGCCTTCCTGGGGCAGACGGTGTTCATGCTGTTGGCCACGGCGCTGCCGTCGCCCGCCGCCGTCGTCGCCTGCCTCACCGCCGCCGTCGGCTGCGGCGCCTTCGCCCTCGCCGGATACGGGTGAGATAGCACAACGCTCTGCACACTCTAACCAGTCGTTAAAAATATTAGAAACTCACCAATCAGATGCGGAAGCCTCTTCGGTGATGGGAAATCGAGCTGTTTGCAAAAATATTTTTGCGTAATTTCAATATTTGTATGATGGTTGTTTATGTTGTACGCTGTGTATTATAGATAAACGATCCGTGTTACAAGAGCACATACATTTTCGAAATATTGGTAAAAGTCATGTAATATTATAACGTGATTTCTATCTTACACTTCAGTTAACACTTGGAAAACTCCTTTAACATGGCAGCGCGAAAATACGAGTACGGAATGTCTCTTAACATCCGCAGGTGGTAGATGCCATCGTAGGCATCATATTTAGAAGGGCCAATGCTGATTTTCTCGGCGGCGACAGCTTCATAATAACACCGAAAATACTGTGTAATTGCATGCTGCCGCTGGGTTACCGATGTTTCAGCGATAACGAATCACAATCTTTTAGAACGCACTTTGGCGTTGTAAGTGCCAATATTACGCTGGTGTGCGAGCATCAGATCCAATCGAAAAATCGTGTGAATTGACGTAAATGGAGGCGTTTACTAAAGACGAGTGTTGGGATATGTCCTTGATGTTGGTGGAAAGCCGACGCAATGCTAACGTTGCTGAACGTGTGTACGCCGCGCAATATCCCAGTCGCCGGTATTCGACGTGTGACGTTTGTGGCGCCTCGATGCCCGACTGCGGGCCACGGCGAACGCGCTCCGCGACCACGTGCGAACCAAGTCGGAAGGCCGCGCCGTGGGCTTGGTTAAATCGAGGTGGCAGTGTTCCAAGCAGCGAAGGACGATCACGCAAACAATGTTCGGGGCCTTGCACTAAGGTTGGGCGAAACGAGGATGATGGTGCATCGAGTTCTGCCCAGCACCCGTTTCATATCACGCCGGTGCGAGGGCAACGCGGTGGCGACCTTCCTCAGCGGATGGCGTACTGTGAGTGGCTGCTGCCCCGCGACGCAAACGGAGGCGAGTTCACTTCACACGTGTTGTGGACTGACGAGGCCATACTTTCACAGGCCAGGGACTTATCTGCGCACAGTTGCCATTGGAGGGCACGCGAGAATCTCCGTATCACGTGCCGGCAACAGTTGTGGAGGAAATTAAATCTCTGAACCGTCATTTTTTACGGTCAGGAAATTGAACCGTATACACACCCGGAGCATGTGGATGCGGTCGCGTACCTCACGTTCCTGCAGCACGTTCTCCCGGAACTGCTAAAAAAATGTGCTCTTAGCGCTCAGCAGAATGTGCATTCAACACTACGGTGCACCGGCGCACTACTGTCATAAGGTATGCGCTCACCTCGACGCACTTTTCCAGGGTCGTTGGATTGGCCGCACAGGCCCCACCGCCTGGCCGCCACGCCCTCCCCACCTGACGCCCCTGGATTTCTTATTCTGAGTCGTCAAGGATCGTCTATATGCGGCCATAGCCGTCCTGACCGCCGAAAGTTTAGGGCGTGTGCAACAAAGCATTGCCGCGAAGTTCAAGCTTATCACTCGTCCAATGCCGCCGTTCTCAGTAGAGCAGTAGTCATAAGAAAAGGCGATGGTTTTCACGTTCCTAGTCGAAAAAAAAATTACGCTTGTAATTACTTATTGCGCAAATGTTTTCAAACAGCAAACATCGTACTAGCGAGTGAATATTGTGTTTTTGCTAACTAACCATCGTAAGGCGTGCAATTTACAAATCTATTTTATTCGGAAACCAGCTGTCGAACTGAGTACTATTATAAAGTGTAACCGTGTTTTTCGACCTTCCGATCACGGTGGCACTCTCCGTATGCGAGTATTAAGGGACATTCTGTATTTGTTGAAACTCGAAAGTTACATGAAAATAGATTAATAACTAGCTAACTAAATACATACACGCAATCAAATTTTAAAGATTAATTGGTATTCATCTCCTCGTTTCTTTTTAACTTGGGAAAATTTCACGTTTTGTTTCAATGTTAATCATCTTGATACTGCACAACAGCACGCCAATGTTGATTGTACAGTCCTTCACAGTAATATACGTTTGCTGAAATATTAAATGATTAAGTGATAAGCATCCACTCGCTTCATTTTAAGCTTGTACGAATGTCAACTGTTTTTTCAGCGTGAATCACCTGGATATTGCACCACAGCACGCCAGTGTTTTGATGGGCCTGTCCAACACAGTCGCAACGTTACCTGGCATCATCAGCCCCACCGTCACCGGCTTCCTCGTGCAACATCACGTAAGCACTTGTTTTACTCGTAGGTGTAAGTGCAATAAGATACAATTAGTTCATTTTTTAACCTAAAAACCTGAGGTACCCGGTTGTTTATCATCTGTGTTTGTGGGTGAGTAATTGAGTGGGATATCTCTTTTGACAAAAGCAGAGAGTTCATCCTGCCTCCCTTGACCATCCCTACACCTTTTCATGTTTGTTACAATCATTCATATGTTTAAAAAAATAAATAAAAAATATAACAAAGAATTGTTAAGATCATAGATACCAATACCATCCTGCTACGGGCAGCTGTAAATGGCTGCATTGTTACACACTCCCAACTTCCAGTAACAACTTTTAATTTCAAACTCTGAACCTAGTTGCGTTATTCGAATGAATGAAAAAAGCATTTAGTATAAAATTGTACGTAATTTTAGAAACGTTGAATTCACTACGGTGAATTTCCTTACTATTCTCGAGATATTTTCGAAAACGGGAAAACTACATACCAATAAAAGGATAGGAAACGAGTTAAGGAGGACATTTTACGAAATCTCAAAAAGTACCTTTTCTCTTTTTTTCAAAATTGGTAGATTTGGTGAAATTGGTGATTTTCACCAATTTCTACAATTTGTAGAAATTGGTATTTGCTGTATGTATGGGTGAGTGATTGAATGAGATCTCCCTCTGTCGACCGCAGAGTGCGGAGGAGTGGAAGAGCGTGTTCTACATCAGCAGCGGCATCTACCTGGTGGGCGTGGTCGTGTACGGGCTGTTCGCGTCGGGGGAGCTGCAGAGCTGGGCCGAGCCTCAGCCCCAGCCCCAGTCGCCGCCCCCGCCCCCACCCCAACTCGAGATGCACGCCTACGACAACCGAGCCATGGACGAGCGCTGACAATTGTATATTTATTTTAATGTGTACAGTTACGCAATGTTATTTTCAACGTTTCTTAAAATAAAAATTTTAAAGATCTCTTCGTGATGTATTACAAACTTGGTTTAATATAGTGCAATCTGTCTGTACGGATGGGAACTTCAAAAATGTTCGTTCTTGGCATTTCTTCAAACATCTTTGGTGCAATTATGGTAAGTATTATTGGTATTATTATTTATGCAATCTACAACAAATTGAAACAAATAATATAAGATGAAGATCTTACTAAGAAAATATTTGTGTATTCGAAAACAAAAAGGTTTCAGAGTTCACTCAAATAAAATAGAATGTTTGGTTACAATATCCTAGAAAAGACTTGCCATTCCTTTCTGAGATGTTCTTCATTCTGGGCCAAGCACTTTATATCTCATATATGAAGATCCATAACTAAAAGCAATATTTTTATGAGAACACTTTTTTGCATAAATGAGAAAATATTAATGCTTTTCGAGAATGCCCTTTTTTTGCAATATCTCTCATTGGATCTATTCAACGGTACATGATGTAGTAAGGTAATAAGGAAGAAATCTGCTTACGACAATAAATTTCAAAAATAATTATGTACTCAATTCAGAAATATTTCATTTTGATCCGTCTGAACACATGCATTATGCATTTTGATATGAACTATTTGGAAATACAACGTACGGGGCTATGAATCCTTTCACATATTACTCATAAACAACTTTTTCTTTGTTCACGAATGACTATAAAAGTTTCCGTAGGGTTATTGGGGTAGCTCACTGACTTTATGATGTTTCGACGTCTAATATTCAAACCAAGAGAATTTTATCAATGTATCTGAAAATACATGCATGAAGTATTATTATTATTATTATTATTATTATTATTATTATTATTATTATTATTATTATTATTATTATTCGTATGTGGACTGACCACGCAACATATTTATATCTCCGAGGTCCAGTTGTAGTCTATCCTGGAGAGATCGTGTGGAATTATGGGGCTCAGCCTTGCGGCTGAATCCCTTGGTTAATGCGAGGTTGTTAGCCTTGAATATCAGTTAGGGGGAATATGATGATATTATTATTACTATTATTATTTTAGGAGAGAGAAATCCTTTATGGATGCCAGTGAGGCTGGTTATATCAGTTTCCCATGTGTGTCCGATATCCCTTTTTGTCTAGCGACAAAACCCTAAACCTCCATTTTCGCAAACTGAGTGCCTTACAAGGTTTTAGGATAACTTCTTGCTCGGCAGGTTCTTAGATCCTAGATCTTTTATTCCTTAATTACTCTCAGGGCTGTTTTTTCTCGCTGATCATTCCTCTAATAATTTGTTTAATTATCTCCCGCTGTGTCAATAGTTTAACTTTTCTTGTATTATGTTGTTTGGGGTTAACCCATTGCTATAGTTGTAGTTGTCTCTCTCGCAAGAAATCTCTGCAATATAATTTTACGTGTTTTATTCGTCAATCGCAGCTCGTTTGGCTCAAATTTTGATTTTCGACCGTTGCGTGGCGGCCGGTGGCGAGGGGAGAGTCACGGGTGACGCGGCGCGCTTCCAGCATATGACGTACAGTTGCGGCGGTGCAGAGTTTTTGCAAGGGTGCGGACCTCCCCTTGCGTTCCAAAGAGCTGAATCCAATGCCAAACGAAAATTATTTTCTGCACGGCGAAAATCAAACTTCTTGGACGTCAGAGACGGTAGTACACAGTTTTGTATCAGACGTACGCGTTCGGAACGCCGGCCGTGGGAGCAGGTGGAGTGAAAGGGGCTGCGGAGGGATAGTGTGGTGTGGTGGGGTGGGGTGGCGGCGAAGCAAGTAGGGGCAGTGCGGGGCAGTTGATGAGTGAAGCGCGGAGGTGAGTAGTCAGCGAGCACCAGGCTGGGAAGGAGACGGCCCTGCTGCTCGGCCGGGCCTTCGCAGGCCTTCCCCGCGTCCGTGGCCGCTAGGCAGCCGCTGTCGCCATGAAACCCGAAGACGCCCTCAGCCGGGCCTTCGCACGCGTCGCCCGCACCTCCCGCCGTTGCGGCCCCATCGAGTAGGGATGCGATATCGATGGCAATCTTTTCAAAACTTTCTTTTTTTGTAGAAACTTCGTCGTTTTATACATTGATGTATTAACACTAATGTTTTAACATCGATGTATTCACGTTTCCGATGTTACATCGGACATCGGAAACTTGAATACATCGATGTTAAAAAAGTAAATAATATCTGATTTTAGCACTGTTAGTTCATTTGTTGGATCCAAAAGGACGCTGTGTGCACTACCTTCATCGTCCAGACTCTGTCACCCGAATGACCTCCAGGCCCTTGTATTTCCTCTTTCTTCATATTTTTTCGCACACAGAGAGGTATACAACGCGTTGTAGACGTGAAGCCCCATCTTCCCGTACTGTTATTAAGCGATTTAACACGAATTTAATGTTAGATGTTACTAAACCAGTTTGAAAACATTGATGTTGAAAACCATCAAAGGTTTTTAGTCGATGGATTATTAACATCGATTTCGCATCGCTACCGTGGGGCCCCGACGCACTCCGGCGCAGGACCACGGCCGTGCCAGCCCTCCTAACCAGCGTTCGCCCACCTAGTACGGGCGAGTACGTCTTTTTTACGTCTTCTTTGGGCTTTTGTTTTTCGAGTGTATAAATGTTTGTTTTATAAAGGAGGCACTCTTTGTTTTTTTGTTTTTTTACTTTCTCGACTTCCTAATTCTTCATAAGAAAGGAAAGTTATGTAATCGTGCGCCAAAAAACGGCGAAATTTCGCCAGAATAAACCTCATTGCCGGGTTTTTGTTAGTGAAAAAGTGGATAAATCCTTATGCTAAATTTAGGGGGCGGGGAAATCTCAAACTCGTGGTGTAGCCAGAATCCATGTTTTGTTCGATATTGATTCCGAAAAATAGATTGTCGGCAAAATGTCAGTCTGTCCGTTTGTCTTAACGCTAACGCCTAAACCATTCAGCTGATTTTCTTCAAAATTGATATACGCTGATAGATCTCAACGGACTGGAGGCTTTGGGAGTTTCTAGCGGATATTTTGATTGTTGAATTTTTTTTACATAAATCGAGCATTTACCTTTTTAAACCTTTGTCAGAGTTCGGACCATACGGCCCTTCTGTGGTGTAGTGGTATATGTATGGCAGTATGACGTAATGGCGTAGTGCCGGCACGTTAACTCTAAGGATCTAAGGTCGAGTCTCGGAGCGGAAAATAATTAGCTGCTTGACAACACTTTTGCTGGTTATGTAGATGTGTAATGTCACGGAGCTTTTAGAAACAACGCGAGAAAGTATGTGCTTTGTCAAGGCCTCTAGTTTTTTGTTACGAAGGTGACAGGAGAAGGGCCGGCATCCAACTGCTAACAAGAGCGAGAAATTGTGATCACCCCACTGTCTTTCATGTATCAAGCGGGACGTCACAATAAATGTTTATAATCACATATCCATTAGTTAACGTGATTGTAAGTAATTTCATATTTTATTTGAGAAATTATATACATAATTAAGAAATATTTTATTATATAGGAACAAACCCACTTTCCTGATATATTGTTGTTATTTATAATCAACAAAAAATTCTCCCAAAAAGTTATAATTGTGCCAGTTTTTTTAACAAATGCCTAAAAAAATCGACAATGTATAGATATTATCCAAACACAATCAAAGAAAATGTAGACAAAATTTTAATTTAGGACTATTCCCATGTTTTATAGTTATTATGAGAAAATAATTCATTAACAACACTTTTTTAAAATTAGTTTTCTTTAGAATTCTTATCTTCTTTATAAGTCTTTGGAATATTTTAATTTTTCTTATAAGCATTTATATCCAAAAACAGGTTTTCTTTCCCTACTAGATCTTCATGTATTTACTACAGCTTTATTTAGGAATACATAGTTTGAATTATTTTCACCACTTTCCTTTCTGATGTTATAGTTTACACTTTCAGGAAGTCTTTAAATTTTTGATCTTCATTGCTTCTTTCTTTCAAATTATTGCATTTTGAATCATGCAATTTTTTAATATCTTCAGTTACTTCTTCAGCTTTGTCAATATTTGATATGCTTAGAAAAATACGACAGACTTCTTTTACTTCCTGAGATGATTTAATTTGAAATTTAACTTAACATAAAAAATATATTAACATTTTTATGGAAATTCATCATAACCTTCTTTTAGAATATTGTCTTGCCTATCGTTTTTTACCCAATTACAATCTGATTTGATAATATTTAATTTTTTTAAGATTGCACTGAAATGTAATGTAAGTGATGGAACTATTATTCTGCAATCATACTTCCAAATGGTGATGGCATTAAATTATGATCAAATGAATATACCAAATAAAAGATCATATCATATAAGTATAGAAACTTTGTAGTGCTTTGCTTTTATAAATCAGCTATTTTGTTTATAAGACCTAATATTATCCATGTTCATTTTTTAGCTCATCATTTTAAATTCTTCTCAAGTTTACTACAAAACGTATTATAACAATGAAAACAGATAACTTGAGTGATTAATAATGAAGATTTAATGTATTGGTTAATTTGTAGTACCTCTTTTTTAATTAGTCATCTATGTAGGAAAATAAAATAAGCTAAATAAAATAAGTTATCATGGCTACTGCCTCCAGTAACAAATTCAGTTCCAGCAACAGTTCGTTTTGAGACTGCTTGACATGATGTATTGGGGCAGGAAGAGGGAGTAACTTATTATAGAAATTGAATACCTCAGTAAATACTAAAGGTTCTTTCACTTCAAATGCTTAAGAGATATTAGTCCAGAGTAAGTGATTTAAGTAAAAGAGTTCTGACTGAACTTTTAAGTTAAGCTCTTCCCAGAGAGTCAAATAAATCATAATTCTTGTTCTTGTAGTGTTCTTGAATAGCAGTGAGAGTTTGAGAGTTTTCTTTGATCAATTTAATTTTTCTCCAATTGATCAGCTTACTCTAAACATCCTTCTTTATTAAATTATTAGGTCATGTAATATTAATACATTACATACTCCACTTATTAGGGTGGTCAAATAAATAGGTCATTATTTATT